TATATTATTCCTAGAAAATTGATCTTACGGATGTTATTTGATTTTTCCTGGGACCCACAGAAAGAAATGGGCTGATGGATACTCTTGCACCACCATCTCCCGCAATTCACATATCCCTTAGTCTTTCCTTTTGTAAAAAAATGCACACATCATACAGGTAAAAGTAAAGTGTCTCCAGAATAATCTGTCTCATAGGCATATGTATGTATACCTAAACAGAGCTGTGCTCTTATACATCACAAGGGCCTTAAAATTAAACTAAATAAAGTTCTCGTATGGCCCAATCTAGATAAAAACCTGGTACCATTTGACAGAATGCTGAAAACATTTTTAGATTATTAAATTAAATCATTTAAATATATAAATACCGTTTATCGATTTTCCACTTGAATCCAATGCGCATAATACATCATGCTTCATAAAAAGACTTCTGAAGCATTTCAGAAGATGGAATGGGTCTAATATTGTAACTATCTGATGACAATTGCATTAAAAACATGGGTTGTCAGTTGTGGAACCAAGTATATCAAATGTTCTTCTTATATTCACCCGAAAAAGATCACACACTGTGGCTATAACCTTTCTTTCTACTTTGAAACATTTGTCAAGAACCTAGAATAAAATATGTACGATTGACATTTTGCATTTGCATAGGAATGCTATTATATATATTGCAGAGGTAAAAATGTTTCACAAGTACCTCTTTTGTCAAAGTGCTGCTTCCTCGTCAGAAAGCATAAAAACAAGTGTTTTGTTAGCCACTTCATTCATTTAACCGTCCACCTTCTTATTGTATGATACATTTTTTTATCCCCATTTCATCAAAGAGCAAAGTACAAATGTTTTCTTTATCTGTCTGCATTTCCACTAGACTTACTAGTCCAACAAAAGTTTGATTAATTATCCCTGGTTTAAGTGGAATAGCAGTTAATAATTTTTTTAGTGTAATGGCAAGGTAAAGTAAATATCCTGAGTAATAATCTATAGCACACAGGTGACCTTTTATATAAGCTTACACCCAAATTTAAAGCAACAAATTCTTTAAACTATGAGCTGCTCTGAAGTAAAAGAACTAACCTGTTGCTTATTATTACTATTTAGTGTCTTGACATCATCATCATTAACAATTTTATTTATACGGTCAAGATTCATTTTTCTTTTTTTCTTTAGAGCATTAATTTTTTTCTTAAGAGCACATATTCTCTGGAATCTTCGCTTACAGATATACTACAGCTTCTTTTCCCTTGTTGATAGCTCTTGAACGTTTTGAATGTCCAACAGTTTTAATATGCTATATTTACGAATCTGAAAAAGGTAAAAAAATCCAGAATTAATATTAATACTTTCGATATGGTATAATATAGCAGATTTTCATGATGGACAACGTCATTCATGCACAATCATCTCTAAATTTTAAGTAGATATTAATTACCGAGCAGGCTATGTGGCCCCGTTTTACTATTATAACTTTTGTAAGCACTCATAGATGTGGTTCTATGAAAGAATCTGCAAAATTAACTAAGTAAATCACATAGGCAATAAAGAATTTTCACAATGTAGAAACAATGACAGGCAATATTTTTAATGTGATTTTAAAATCAATGTAATTTGTCCATAAATATATCAAGATTATGCCTTAATAACTATTATTGTTTTGTTTTTGACCCAATTTTCACACATACAATAACAATATTATTATTCCTATTCTAAAACCTGGTAAATCGACCTATTGCTATTTCATCAACCCTGTCTAAAATCATGGAACATCTTGTAAAAAATTGCCTTGAGTGGATTCTCGAAAATAGAGGCATTATATCAAAGAGCCAATTTAGTTTTAGAAAAGGTTTTAGCATAATGGATAGCCTTAGCATTTTGGTATCTGATATAAGACTAGCATTCTCCAATCCTCCTTCTTTCTCGTAGGTATTTTCATTGATGTTTGTGCAGCATATGATAATGTTGTTCTCCCTCTGCTCAGGCAAAAAATGCATCAGCTGAACATTCCCGAGAGAATAACAAATTTCATAGCAAACCTACTTTCACATAGACGCATATTTTAGTTCGTTCTAAAGGAAGATTTCTACCAGCTAGATTTACCTGGAAGGGACTACCACAAGGTTCAGTCTTGAGCCCCTTGTTGTACAGCCTTTTCACTCTAAGATTAGATACCCGCTAATTTTAAATATTAGAAAGTCTCTGTACTATTGTCATAAAAAAGGGCTGAACATTGTATTGGCTTGGATCCCTAGCTACTGCGGGATTCAGGGCAATGAAATTGCTGATAATTTAGCTAAAGATGCCACAAAATCTGGTTCTATCCCTAGACAATGCCTCTATGCACACGACCTCCTGCCAAAGGCAAACTCCGGCCTTCTGTCTTCTTGGCAAAGTAATTGGCAACAGTCTAAATTTTTAAAATGTAATCACTATTCCAAAGTCCAAATTAATATCCCATCAAAACCCTGGTTTTTTCAATATCGCCACTTTAGTAAAGCTACCACCTCTACTGTTTGCCGCCTACGCTTTGGTCATGCTTGTACTCCTGTACAAATGACCAAACTCAGGATTATGGATAGCTCAATCTGTGAATGTGGTCTAGATGAAGGATCTGTTAATCATCTGCTCTTTGAGTGTCCTAAACTTTCTTTCTCTCTCAACAATATTCTGCCCAATTACATCCCTCGTCTAGTAAATGTTTCCAATTTTTGCTGACCATAGTGTATACTTCCTTCGTAAATATTTTATGTGCTTTTATTCATACTAATAATATTAAACTGTAAACTTACTTAACAACTTTGGTGATGGTATTGTAAATATGCGACGTCTTTTGTTTTAGATTGTGAAACCCACTCATAAAATTGAGAACTCTGATTTTAAGTATTATTAACTTGTCACTTCCATGACTGACTTGACACTGGCAGAATTCTATCGAGAGAAGCCATAATATAAAAGAAGAAGAAAAACTTCGTATGCCAAGAAAAGTTAAAGTATGCCATATCTTTTCAACTGCGTTCACTGTGCATATCCATCCTTCTTGAGACGGCAGATTTTTATTACATCCACAAAACTTCGTATCTCTCAAAAATTTCTTATGTAATTGAAGTATTCTAAATGCGGACTTGTTTACGTTGTTGTGTTTGAGTCGGTACTTAATTAACGAGTCAAACAACTGATCAATTTGATTGATAAAATTTTGCAGTGGACACAGCTTCGGCAGGAAGTTTATCTGTAATTAGAATTACACTCATGTTACAGTCTCCAGCACACGTATAACATTTTAGGAAATATTTAATATAATTGAAAAATTAATAAACAATAAGATGGTAAGGAAATTTAGACGCTCACTCGATAACTTTTTGCTAGTATACCAGCAGCCACAGATATTGCTGAATATTTACGCAGAAAGCTTCACACGCATTTTCTGTTGTTTGGTGAAATATGAATATCAGTGAAGACAAAAACATAAACAAAGTTTAGTTTATTTCTATCTAAATCATAGAATTTTTTTTAATGTGACTCCCTTTTGCTGGACCTAAAAAACTAATTTAGTCGTAAATTTGTAAAAAGTTTTACCACTATTGAAAATGGAAGCTCTTATACTTGGCTTTTTAAATCGGCTCATAAAAGTCTACTGCCGGTAGAGAGGATTTCGCTTAATCGTTACTCTCGGCAGACAGATTGACAATTGCAGTACTATGCGTCTTGCACATTTACCGCAGTTTCTCTTCGCCATTCCGGATATTTACGTCTGACGTAAGCATGATGGTTTTATCACCATCTAACGGATATATTAGTCCTAGAAAATTCATCTAACGGATGTTATTTGATTTTTCCTGGGACCCACAGAATGAAATGGGGTGATAGATACTCTTGCACCACCATCACCCGGAAATTCACATGTCCCTTAGTCTTTCCTTTTGTAAAAAGATGCACACATCATGCAAGTAAAAGTGTCTCCAGAATAATCCATCTCATAGGCATATTTATGTATACTTAAACAGAGCTGTGCTCTTATACATCACAAGGGCTTTAAAATCAAACTAAATAAAGTTCTCGTATGGCCTAATCTAGATAAAAACCAGGTACCATTTGACAGAATGCTGAAAACATTTTTAGATTATTAAATTAAATAATTTAAATATATAAATACCGTTTATCGATTTTCCACTTGAATCCAATGCGCATAATACATCATGCTTCATAAAAAGATTTCTGAAGCATTTCAGAAGATGGAATGGGTCTAATATTGTAACTATCTGATGACAATTGATTAAAAAGTTCAGTTGTGGAACCAAGTATATCAAATCTTCTTCTTACATTCACCTGAAAAAGATCACACATTGTGGCTATAATCTTTATTCCTACTTTGAAACATTTGTCAAGAACCTAGAATAAAATATGTACGATTGACATTTTGCATTTGCATAGGAATGCTATTATATATATTGCAGAGGTAAAAATGTTTCACAAGTACCTCTTTTGTCAAAGTGCTGCTTCCTCGTCAGAAAGCATAAAAACAAGTGCTTTGTTAGCCACTTCATTCATTTAACCATCCAACTTCTTATTGTATGATACATTTTTTATCCCCGTTTCATCAAAGAGCAAGGTACAAATGTTTTCTTTATTTGTCTGCATTTCCACTAGACTTACTAGTCCAAAAAAGTTTGATTAATTATTCCTGGTTTAAGTGGAATAGCAGTTAATAATTTTTTTAGTGTAATGGCAAGGTAAAGTAAATATCCTGAGTAATAATCTATAGCACACAGGTGACCTTTTATATAAGCTTACAGCCAAATTTAAAGCAACAAATTCTTTAAACTATGAGCTGCTCTGAAAGTAAAAGAACTAACCTGTTGCTTATTATTACTATTTAGTGTCTTGACATCATCATCATTAACAATTTTATTTATACGGTCAAGATTCATTTTTCTTTTTTTCTTTAGAGCATTAATTTTTTTCTTAAGAGCACATATTCTCTGGAATCTTCGCTTACAGATATACTACAGCTTCTTTTCCCTTGTTGATAGCTCTTGAACGTTTTGAATGTCCAACAGTTTTAATATGCTATATTTACGAATCTGAAAAAGGTAAAAAATCCAAAATTAATATTAATACTTTCGATATGGTATGATATAGCAGATTTTCATGATGGACAACGTCATTCATGCACAATCATCTCTAAATTTTAAGTAGATATTAACTACCGAGCAGGCTATTTGGTCCCGTTTTACTATTATAACTTTAGTAAGCACTCATAGATGTGGTTTTTTTTTTTTTATAGGATAGGGTGACAAACGAGTACACAGTCCACCTGATGGTAAGTGGTTGCTGTGGCCCATAGACATCTACATCTATCCTCGATTACGAATCAAAATGCAGATGCGTTGTCACCCGTGAGGACTAAGATGGAATGCCTCGTTTCCAGTAAAAAGGGTCTCAGGTTCTCTACACTCACCATACGAAATACAGCAGCATTAAGCTACTATTTCACGCTGGTATTCTGTGAGAGCGTGGTCCTTCCCCGGTCGAGCTGACCCATTAGTGCTACAACTATACTACTAATATAACTGCAGCATGGCTCTACCACGTATAAAACGAAACGTGGTTCTATGAAAGAATCTGCAAAATTAACTAAGCAAATCACATAGGCAATAAAGAATTTTCATAATGTAGAAACAATGACAGGAAATATTTTTAATGTGATTTTTAAATCAATGTAATTTGTCCATAAATATAGCAAGATTATGCCTTAATAACTATTATTTTGTTTTTGACCCAATTTTCACACATACAATAAAGATTGAAATACAAATCATAACTCAGTTTTGCTAAAAATGTCTGCGTCACAAGGCTTGAAAGAAATATGAATATGTAATAATTCATCTGAACTCAAAAATTAAGTAACAGCCAATAAGCATGTTGGTGGCTTTCACGTCTTTGGTTTTTTTAATTTCTAAAACATACAGTGAAATACTTAATCAACATAGGTTTCCTCACATCATTTAATAATTTCATAGGTGTCAGTGGGAATAGAATCTGAGTTGCTCACATTCTGTGAAATTTACAGTGAGCGCTTATCCCTATATTACTAATATATAAAAATCAATTGCTCCCCTTTAGTCTTGCTATAACTTGATATAGGCTCGACCAATTTTGTAAGGGTGACAAACAAGCAACCAGTCCACCTGATGATAAATGGTTGCTGTGGTCCATAGACATCTACATCCATCCTCAATTATGAATCAAAATGCAAGTGCGCTGTCACCTGTGAAGACTAAATTGGAACGCCTTGTTCTCAGTAAAATGGTTCACCGGTCCTCTACACTCACCATACAAAACACAGCAGTGTTGAGCTGCTATTTTAAGCTGGTATTTTGTGATAGCACGGTCCTTCTCCAGTTGACCCATTCTCGCTACAATTATACTACTGTTATACATGTAACATGGCTCTATCACATAAAAAACTACAACTAATAAAATCTATTACTATACATACTGGTTAATTGAATCTTTTAAATGTAGAAATATTTTTGAGTACATCGTTTGTCTCAGGCGTACCATAATTTACTGATTGATTAATTTGATTTCCTGTTAAAATAATATTCTGAAAATATTAAGCTTAAGGACGCGTTTACAAAATGGATAGGTATAGAATCGCACTACTACATTGACAAAAGTCACACACACACTAGTGTACGCACGGTTGGCTGTGGGAATCGTAGTCAAATGAAATTATTTTGATAATTTGAAAGATTGAATTTGTTTTTCATTTCTTATACCTACCTCAGAAATATACTTCGATACGAAATATGAATACCTGCTCCAAAGACTGCTTGGCACTGGAAGCCCTCTACTGGTAGTGAGATGTTAGCTCTGGACTTTGAACTGGTTTTGTCAGTTATAATAAGACCTTACCTACCTGCGGACTTGATGGAGTGACCTGAAGATGTAATTTGGTGATTACAACAATAGGAACTCCTAGACTAGTGGAACTAGGTGTGCCGAGTTTGGGTTCGTTTTGTTGGTTATGATGAGACCTTACCACCGGACTTGATGGAGTGACCTGAAGGGGTAATTCAGTAACTACTGCTGGAATTTCTGAACGAGTAGAACTAGGTGTGCCGAATTTGGGCTCCGTTTTGTTAGTTATGACGAGTCCATACCTCCGGACTTGATGGAGTGACCTGAAGGTGTAAATCGGTGATTGCAACTGGAACTCCTAGACTGGTGGAACTAGGTGTGCCGAGTTTGGGTTCGTTTTGTAGGTTATGATGAGACCTTACCACCGGACATGATGGAGTGACCTGAAGGGATAGTTCGGTGATTACAAGTGGAACTTCTAGACTTGTAGGACTGGGTGTGCCGAGTTTGGGTTCGTTTTGTTAGTTATGATGAGACCTTACCACCAGACTTGATGTAGTGACCTGAAGGGGTAATTCAGTAACTACTGCTGGAATTTCTGAACCAGTAGAACTAGGTGTACGGAATTTCACTCCATCAAGTCCGGTGGTAAGATCTTATCGTAACTAACAAAACGAAACCAAACTCGTCACACCTAGTTCTACTAGTCTAGTAATTCCATTTGTAACCACCTGATTACACCTTCAGGTCACTCTATCAAGTCCGGTGGTAAGGTCTCATCGTAACTAACAAAACGAACCCAAACTCGGCACACCTAGTTCTACCAGTCTAGGAGTTCCAGTTGCAATCACCGATTTAGACCTTCAGGTCACTCAATCAAGTCCGGTGGTAAGGTCTCATCATAACTAACAAAATAAGCCCAAACTCGGCACACCTAGTTTTACTCTACAAGAAGTTCAAATAGCGGTCGCGAAAGTACACCTTCAGGTCACACCATCAAGTGCGGAGGTAAGGTCTCATCATAACCAACAAAACGAGCCCAAACTCGGCACACCTAGTTCCGCTCGTCCAGGAGTTGCAGTAGTAGGTAAGTTTATATATCCTACTTATTTTTAGCGAAATAAAAAACTGTGAGTATAAAAATAATAATTTTATCACTTGTCAAGTACTTATGTTTCCAATTTGTTTTTTTTTCTAATATTTTGTGTATGTACAGCGATCTTTTCAGAATGAGCCACTGCAAACAGGCGATACAGTGTCCACTCACGACGGCGGCCGAGCGCGGACTGTGGTTTCATCGAAATCTTTGTACAATAAATCAAAGCAGGCACCAACAATAAAATAGCCCTTATTGCAATACATTATGATTCATCCGTATTACCAAAATATGTGAAAAAATGTGCATCAGTTTTTATTTTTTTTACGACTATTTGTGACATTTTGTTAAAAAATAAACTCAGGGTTTTTTAATTGAATATGTCTGTCATCTTATAGTATTTTTTAAATTTTTTAAATATGTTGATAATAGACCAAAACATATACCGAAACACAAGCCGGTATCGTTAATTTTGTAGAAAATGGCAACGAAAGTTCGTTTTTACAATATAAAAAACTACTATTTTCAACAAAAGAGTTACAGACATTTGCAGATGAAGAACCAATCTATACATGGTAGTTTTTACTTATATTTGATTTGGTTTAGTTTTGTCACAAAATCTACCGAAAAACACCCTAATTTTGGTTGATTTGCAAACGCGTCCTTAATTAATTAGTCGTTTTTTTTAAAGAGTAGTAGAAAAAGTAGTTTGTTATACATACTTGCTTATTTTCTCTATGGTATTCTGTACTTTGTATAAAATTCGAAGGACCTGATTGTGGCAAAATCTAAAAATAATATAAATATTTTATGGTAAGCTATTAATGGAGTACAACATACATTCATATTTAATATATGAAAAGACAATTATTTAATACCTCTACACGATTAGAAGGGCCAGCTTCATCTTGTAATCTGTGCAGTAGAGATTCTGTATCAATAGGTATAGAAAACTTATTAATGCGAGTTTTAATACTGTTACTGAAGGAAAATTCCGCAAAATGTTGACTGCATATCATTTTGTGGTTGCTATGCGGTTTTTTAAAAAAAATTATATCAGCAGAATTTTTGTAGGGAAAATTAAATTCGGCCCAAATGCGTGACCTGAAACATAAAATTCGAGTCAATACTATTATGTACACCTTCAAATAACAGCCAGTACAACTCTGTTGAGTTAAGTTTGTACTTGGTGCGGGGGACATCAACAAAAATAATTAGTAACTAAACAAATAGGAGACGAAAAGTAAAGATGTGCGTACCGATAACAATGATGCAAACCGAATTGACTTGACTATGTACAGGGGAGAGCGTAAAAGAGTAAAGAGCGGAGGAACCGAGGGTCCCGCATTGCAGTCAGGTGCAAACTTAGCTCAATCGGGTTGTAAATTTAAATACAGTACTAACTTGATACAACAAATCTGAATGGGATTAGAAAATATTCGTTATACCAAGTAATTTGTTATTATTGTTGTTGTTAAGGCTAACCCCGCTTCATCTACATATATAACAAGAAGCAACTTTAGCTGCCATTAGACTCAAGACCCTAAATCTTTTAAGTAAGAGTAGAGTTCCCCATACAGGTATAATTGATAAAATTTACGCAAAAATTCCTATCTTACAAGCCAAGTACGATAGGATCCCAAAACAATTTGTATTCGATAAGAAGTATAAGATAGAATTAAATGAAACTGACCAGCTGAAGGGAGCCCAAAAGCGCTTAGAGTTTTCACAAATGGTTCTAAGACACATGAAGGTCTAGGATCTGGATTTTTCTCTGTAGACCTTAATATCCACATATGCACACTGTTGGGTACCCATAACACAGTCTTCCAGGCTGAATATATGGGTATCATCCAAGCGGCCATAGCAATAGATCCTAGGAAGGTAAAAGTCTTCTACATCAGAATACTGACCGACAGTACGGCAGTACCACAAGCTCTGAGTTGTAATGCATAACAATGTGACTGCAATGGATTAAGAGACACAGTGGATCTGGAGGCAACGATGCAGCAGATGAACAGGCCAGGAGATGGGCTCTGGCCACTATAGGGCCGGAACCAATAATACCAATCCCCATTGGCTAAGTTCGTGCAATGGTATGTAGAAACTTCAATAATTTACACACTGAACTTTGGAAAAATTTTGCTGAATGTAGACAGGCTAGGGAGGTCCTGCCTGTAATAAACAGTCACCTAACCAAGGCAAGGTAACAAGTGCTATCACAGGACATGGCTATTTTAACAAACATTTGTTTACCATAGGTGTTACAGGTAGTCCCCTGTGCAGGGCATGCATGAGGGAGGAAGAAAAGGCGGCTCACGTGTTGCTGACATGTCCGGAGGAGGCTTCAGACAGGGCTAAACATCTCGGCACGCCGGGATCGCTCCCCGAAGTTGCTTGCAACATCAAAGGACTGTTTAACTTCTTTGGGGAGTTTTCGTGGCTCGAATAATTACATTATTCCTGCCCACCCGCAAAATACGCGTTTAGACGTGGAGTTGCGGAAAACAGCCTGTCGTAGACTAAACTAAGTAATTTGTTACAATAAGGTTTGTATAAAGAGGTTAGGTAGCTCTAAGATTTGTTTTAGCAAGGTAAGCAAACTTAAAAAAAGTAAAACACAATGTAATGAATGCCTAAACAACACTAAACATTATTCGGTTCCGAGAGAGTTTCTCGGTCTGCGCACACCATAGCGAGTGTGACGAGAGGCTGCATAGGCAGCTGTCTCACGAATGAGGCGATTTGAGTGGACCTCTGAGGCTTTGAAAAATCTCTCTGAGATTGATTTGAGGAACTGCTGAATTGTTGGGAGCTCTAAGTCTCGGTGGAGGTCGGCGTTACGGACATAATAGGGTGAGTTCGTGACCCTATGACAGAAGAGATTTTGAACTATTTGAAGTTCAATTATAACGTTGGGATTAGCATGTGCGAAAATGGGGGCCGCGTATGTCATAACGGGTCGTATACAGACCTTATATAGAGTTCGCTTGTTGCGGAGTGACATTTTACTGTGTCTGCCCAACATGCTGTTGAGCCTACCCATGTAAAATCGCGCGGTGCGAGTTATTTTCTTCATATGAGGCTCAAAAGTGAGCCTTGCATCAATGGTGACGCCTAAATATTTGTCTTTTGTTTGCCATGGGACAGAGGTTCTCAGCTTTCTCGTCAACTTTGAAATACTGGGAGAGAAGGTCTAAAACTTGGCTAAGGTCTATGGTGGACAGGGGGGAGGGGGACGACGATTTTAAACTAAGAATTAGAGGTCCCTGTTCTGAGGAGAACAGGGTCTTGGGTGGCAGAGGAGGAGGGCTGACAATTTATTCCAAGAAGCTGGGATCTCTTTATTCTGACAAGAACAAGGGCTTGTTCTGACAAGAACAAGAGATGTTCTTCCAAGAAACAACAACAATAATACAGTAACAATGTAACAAAAATAATAACAGAAAAATTAACAAATAAAACAATAACAAGCAAAGCGCGTTCGAACCTCCCCGCCGAAGTGAGGGGGTAAGAATGATGCGAAAAACAAAAGACTCACCAAAAGCGACTGCTCGGTCAGTGTGAGCAGGGGAGCGGAGGCGCGCGGACGAGAGAGGTGCTGCCGTATGGAGACGGGAGCTGACTGCTTGACACACAACCGCTCGAGAGTGGTGTGGCAAGCGGAATGGAAGGTGGAACTAAAATAAGTAAACTTTATTCTATTTTATATACATATTTAATTGCACTTATCAGCTCTTCATATGCATCTAAATGGTTTGTCATAATTTTTCGTCTCCATAAGTACTCGCACAACCAATCCGTAAAATTATGCTTGTTTTTGTGTTGTCTAAATTGTTTTTTTAATCCTCTCCACTGGCTCTCAATGCGCTGTATGTATGTCCCGTCTGGTGCCACAAAGTTCTCAGTTGGGTCGCTGTGATTTACTATTTTATGAATATATCCATGCTCAGGAAGGCTTAGATATGCTTTCCCATTATCTGTGTGAATGATGGAGCCCTCCTGGACATGTTTTTTTATGAGTGGCAGCAATATGTCCGCAGACTTTTCATTATCAGGACATACTTCAAGCCGTAGATCGTCATTGCCATCTTCAATCATGCCAATTACCCAACATCCTTCAGTGTGTCTCCCACGGTTATATTTCCTTTTTCCAAATTTAGCTTCATCTATGTGAACCACTTTATTAGGGCCCCCTATCTTCCCTTGGGCCCTTTGATTTTCTAGTTCATAAATGGCAATTGTTTCCCGGCAATGACTGAACCAGTAAGCCACAGTTCTGCTAGAAACTACTAGGCTGTCATCACAGGCTAGCTCCTTCCTTGTTTGGTGGTAAGACAGTCCCTCACTAAATGCATACATAATTTGAAATATTAAAGTGAGGGACAAGTGTGCGTTTTCAAACCAGGTCCCAGTAGCACGAGAGACTGTTTTGGTACGGCAGTTGCTTTTCCGGCATCTAAATTTTCCAACTTGCCCTGATTCTTTTGTCAAAATCATTGACTTCCGGTGGTATGTGCAGATTTTGCCTACTGGGATGAGTCCTCTCTCCTCCGCAAACTGAACACACTGTTCGTGTGTACCCAATTTGGAGAAGATTTTTCTCCAGTTCCACATGGATCTGAACAAAAAAAAGGTATTACAAAGAGATTAGTACCTGGATAACCGAGCTTTGCTCGGTACTTTTTTTTTAAATCTTGTGTTTTGGAAATTATATTTAGATACAAATTACATACTGATGAAATATGAATAGGTAATACTTTTTGATCTTATCGACATAATAAAAAAAACTGAACTGGTTATTAGAATAAAAAATCATGAGTACAGTTAGTTTAATTTAAATTTTCGTGTTTATATAAAAATTCTAAAAAAAGGGCTCTAAATAATAGATTTTCTCAAAAAAGAAGGGCACTTTAAAAAAAGGAAAATCTAACCAAAGACAGGACTCGAACTAGGGTACTAAGATTTAAGGATAGTCCAATATCCCATTTGAGCTATTATAATCATTAATATATTAACAAAATTTACCTTCTTATTCTAACAATATTGTAGCAGTTTTTTACTGACTGAAAACACGGATAAAACAACATTTTCTAAAAATGAATCCTAGCTAGATCGATTTATTGTCTCCAAAACTCCTTGGACACAAAATTTTATGAAAATCGTTGAAGCCGTTTCAGAGATTCCGATTATTATATTTATACAAGAATTGCTCGTTTAAAGGTATAGGATAATTGCTGCTTTTTAGGGGCTGGTTCTCCACAAATAAAAATATATACAAATTGCATTGTGAAGTCAATACAGGACAAATTTTTCTCCATTTTCAGCTATAAATTTCATTTTAAAATCCACTGCAGCCCTTATGCAATCAAACTTTATTAAAATTCCAGTAAGCAAATTAAAAATTTTATTATACGCCCTTTTATAACCTGACCTGACCTGAAATAACTATGATATTGTACAGTAATCATAACATAAATCAAAACTTACCTTAACTCATCTGAGTAAGGATTACGCCTTCTGCCAGATGATCTGGGCATCGCAGCAGCAAATTCCTCGCCCTCGTCCTCCGAAGAACTAGCTATAGCTGATAGGCTACCACAAGAACCAGCTGCTCCACTGGGACCAGTCATCCCACTAGGACCAGCAACCGGTTCGTCAAGGACCGGGGATCGCAAACACGGGAGCACAAGTGACTCATTTGAGTCCAACACTCGCGCACTATTTGAAGACGGCGCAGAAGAGGAGGCCGTGACAAGCGGCTCATTTGAGTCCAACACTTGCACTTCACTCAACTCTTCAGACACAGAAGCATGGGGCTTCGGAGACGCCATGGTAGTCAAACGTTGTAAGCTTACAGGAGTACGTAAAACGATCTCAACTGCAAAGGCAACGGGCTACAACCATAGATTACTGTATATATACTAGAGAGCTACAACTTTCAGTTTATACAAAGTCAGTTTATACAAAGGTACTCTGTGATACAAAGGTACTCTGTGTACGATATATTACTTTCCTCTATGGTACTCTGTGGCTACAACAAACGAACAAGAACAAACGATGACTGGCCCACAGAGTACCTTTGTATCAATCATAGATAAATAAATATGTAGCAAGCTAGTATCAATTAAAATAGAGACCAAATTTATACTTGTTCTCATCACAGATAATAATTAAAATCAAAATAAATAAAAGTAACATTACATTTACAGGATTTATTAAAAAGTAGCACACAAATACAATAATAGTTATTACAATAAGAAATATGGAGTGGACGCTACGTTAGTGCTCTTATTAGTTTGTGTTTCAGTTTATATAAAGGTACTCTACGCTGGACGCTATTATCAAATTAAACCACAGAACACCATTAAACAAAATGAATTTAGTGATCCGCAAAAAGTATCGATACCCGAGTAGTATCGATACTTTCATTTCAATACCAAGTATTTTTGTACTAGATACACTTTTTACAAATAACAAATCTTTAGCTAAATTATCAGCAATTTTATTGCCCTGAATCCCGCAGTGGCTAGGGATCCAAGCCAATACAATGTTCAGCCCTTTTTTATGACAATAGTACAGAGACTTAACTATTTCTAAAATAACCAAAGCCTCGCCTGTGATACAGATGACATAACATAAACGTTTATGTCACCCAGAGGGATAGGCAGAGACTACAGATTTCCATTTGGCACGATCCTGACACACCTCTCTCGCCTCCTTCACATCCATACACCTACGCATACATGCTTGTCGGTTAATGGTACTCCAAATTTGGCCAGTTTTCAATAAATCGCCAATTTGGTCGATAAATTTTCGCCTGGGACGTCCCTTTCCGACTCTGCCATTCACTTCTGCAACATAAATTTTCTTTGTCACTCTTTCCTCATTCATTCTTTCCACATGACCAAACCACCGAAGCATTCCTTTCTTAATTCTGGTCACAACATCATTTGCAAACCACACTCTTCTCTTATTACATAATTTCTTACCCTGTCATTCAGATTCAGTCCTAACATACTCCTTAACGACCGCATTTCTACTGCGTTTATTCTACTCTCGTGCTTCTTCTGCCACACCCAACTTTCACTACCATACAAAGTAGGGACCAACACAGCATTGTAAATTGCCATACGTGCCTTTTTCGACACATTTTGACTCTTCACAATAGAGTGCAAGGCCCCATTTACTCTATTTCCCGCATTCACTCGTCGTTCTATATCCTTATATCTCCCATCCCTGCTAAATACGCAGCCCAAATATACAAACTCATCTACTTGCTCGATCGACTCCCCTTCTATTCTTATTTCACAAATCGTTTTACTTTCTTCTCTTTCAAAAACCATAACCTTCGTCTTACTTGCGTTCACTTTCATACCCCTTTCTTTTAATGATCCGTTCATTAATGTAACCATCATTTGCAACTCGGCCGCTGACGACGCAAGAATGACTTGATCTTCGGCGTACAAAAGGCATTTGACGGTTAACTCACCCATTCTTAATCCGCATTCTTCAACTTTCAAATTTTGCAAACAACTGTCCATAAATAGATTGAACAGCCACGGGGAAGCCACACAGCCCTGTCTGACACCTTTATGGATGTCAAACCAGTCCGAGTAGACCCCGTTGATCCTAACACAAGCACTAGAGTCCCTATAAAGAGACTCCAATGCCTGTATCAAGCCAGCGCTCAACCCAAATGAGTTCAGTGTTTGCCATAGCAAATCCCTATCCACTCTGTCATAGGCCTTTTCCAAGTCCATGAACGCACAAAAAACCTTTTGGTTTTTGGCCAGAAACTTCTCGCGATCATGCGCATGGAAAAGACTTGATCTGTACATCCCATTCCCTTTCTAAATCCCGCTTGCACATCCCAAAATTTTCCATCAGTTTCTTTCATGACCCTTTCAATCAGTACGTTAGCGTACAGTTTTCCCACAATGCTAAGAAGGCTGATGCTACGGTAGTTTTTAGTCCTGCTGCGACCCTTTTCCTTTATATACTGGGACTATCACGGCTTTGCACCAGTCTACCGGTACCCGCTTCAGTTCCCAGCATAAATTAAACAAGGTGTGCAGCAGGCCTGCCACCACCTCCTCTCCAGCCCTTAGCATTTCGAGTGAAACTCTATCATATCCGGGCGCCTTACCCGCTTTCATGCTTTTCATTGCTTTCATTATTTCATCTATACTTATCTCGCTACCTCTTTCCTCTTCTTTCGGAGTTTCTACTTCACTTAGTACACATGTTGTCTCCTCACTCATAAAGACGCTTTCAAAATATTCCTTCCATCTCTTTAAACTCAAAACTTCATCATTCAGAATATAGCCATTCTCGTCTCTTATAGCATTCATCATAGGCTGTTTCGAATGTCCCCTGGCAGTTCTTACCAGTTTCCAGAACATTTTAATATTTGCCTGGAAGTTATCCGATATTCTTCTATCATTCTTATCCGTTCTTTCTTGCTTTTTTCTTTCAACTACTTCTTTTACTCTCTTATTAAGATGTCTAAAGACCGCCTTTTTTCTTTCAATATCATTCGTACCGCTAGAATTACCAGCCTTTGTTGCTAGTAAATCTAGCCATGCTCTCTTCTTTGCTTCAACTTCCATACGTATCTCATCATCCCACCATAACGTATTATTTTTCCTTTCATTCTTTCTCTTACTAACACCACATACTTCGGTAGCTGCATGCACTAAACCTTTCTTTACATTTTGCCATACATATTCCAAGTCTAACTCCTTCATACATAATTCATCCAAACCACTTATATTTTCTTTCAGTCTACATTTGAACTTGTTTCTCTCACCTTCATCTTGCAACCTTTCTGTTCTAATACGCTGTAACGCAGTGGTAGACACAGATGACCGATGACGCCAACGCCTGAATAGACCATTAATTCGGCATAAAACCAAATAATGATCCGTTCCTACGTTAGAACCCCGGTAAACCCTTGTATCCACCACTGCGCCCCTCAATCTTTCATCCACAATTATGAAATCTATCATGCTTCTATCGTCACCTCTTTCCCAAGTATACATATGATTCCTCTTGTGGCGAAAGCAAGTGTTCGTCACAAAAAGATTCTTTTCCATACATACGGTGAGGAGACTTTCACCATTCTCATTTATACTTTCATCACCAAACGTTCCCAATATCCTTTCATAACCAAGCCTCCTCACCCCAACCCTTCCATTAAAATCTCCTAGCATAATAATATTTTCATTTCCCTTACACTTCATTAACACCATCCTTACCATTTCCCAAAACTGCTCTCGGATATAAGTGGGCTTAGACATGTCTGGGGCGTAGACCCCTAACACCAACTTCTTTAAGCCCACTTTCATTCGTATCCATAGCAGTCTTGGGCTTACACATTCATACTCTTTCACACATTACTCCCTGGCATGCCCGCTCGATCTCGTCTACACCAGACCAGTATGCGGTATACATGCCATGTGTAGTGACATCCTTCCCCTTCCTTTTCGTCTCATTTACGCATAACACATCTATTCCTCTATCATACATCATATCGCATACTTCATCCATTTTATCATTCATTGCCCCACATACATTCAACGTAGCCAGACGGGCCTCTGCAATCCACTTTTCGGCACTCCGGGAGACAGAACGTGACGGGTGGCGAACCTCGTCGCTGGTTTTCCTCCCGGAGATTCTTCGCACCCCTGCCCCATTAAAGGGGCGCCGGGAACTCGGGGCCATTTCCTTTATTTGGTTAGTCATGGTGCGAAATATGAGGTAGTATATTTTACGCCGCTACCACGGCGTGGAGCAGAGTCTGTGCTATCGGCTTGTCGCTCATTTAGCACCACCGGGGGACACGTGTAGGGTGGGCCTAGGAACAGGTGGTCAAAGCCTACGGACGCAACCGACTTATATATTGATACAGATGAGTCAGGGGAGATTTAAAATAATCCTGTATTTAGGGATCCACACTGCAGACCCTACTAATCAACAGTCACTTAACTTTGAAGTATCGGTGTACATAGTTAACCAATCATGCCAATTTTGGAGTAGGAGCATATTTAATTTGTTATTAAGTAGGGTTTGATACAAAGGTAGGTATATAGTTTTGTTATTAAAAAGTAAATTGTGACAGAGAGTGGTTGTCGATTTTCAAATAAAACTTTAATATTGTTTTACTCTAATATATAATTGACGAGTTTCTGCTTAAGGCAATGATGTAACTTACAATGAATCTAGTCTGCGTCCTGCTTTTGTTTTTATACCCGCATTATGCGGTTTACAATTATCCATAAACTAAAATAGTTTAAAATCACCACATTATTTATTACATCCGGAATCTTACTTTATAATGTAATTACAAACTTTTGTCGTACTTAAATATTTAATATACTATAAATCAAATAATAATGCATTTATTTAATCAAGTAATTTTGATTAAGTTAAACTTATTTAATCAAGTAATGTTTAATGATAAGAGGTTTACGTGTAAGTAAATTTATAATTATGGCTGAGGACGGGAAACGTTTGCTAACAAAATTTTCCTTTTTTTATTTAAAGTTACACAAACGAAGACTTTATCCCTATCAATTTATGTATCAATACCGTATGTCATCAATATTGATACTTCTGTATAGTGTCCATTACTACCTTCCTAGAAGCAAAAGAGGCCACGCACGGGTTTGACTCCCAATTTCATCGGTTACAGCGTGTTGTCTCTTTCTATCGCACTATTGAGTATATTCAATGATAGAGTTCCACTCACTACACAAAAAACGTTCAATTCAATGCTCGGCCTCCATGCTTGTTGATTGCTCAGAGCACTGCAGCGCTGCGGTAAGAAACA